TTTGAGTCCTCTTCCCTCTTTTTCTTGATGAGTCTGGCTAATGGGTTATCAATTTTGTTTATCTTTTCAAAGAACCAGCTTTTAGTTTTATTGATCTTTGCTATTGTTTTCTTTGTTTCTATTTCATTTATTTCTGCTCTGATCTTTATGATTTCTTTCCTTCTGCTAACTTTGGGTTTTGTTTGTTCTTCTTTCTCTAGTTCCTTTAGGTGTAAGGTTAGATTGTTTATTTGAGATTTTTGTTGTTTCTTGAGGTAGGCTTGTATAGCTATAAACTTCCCTCTTAGAACTGCTTTTGCTGCATCCCATAGGTTTTGGATCGTCGTGTTTTCATTGTCATTTGTGTCTAGGTACTTTTTGATTTCCTCTTTGATTTCTTCAGTGTCTCTTGGTTATTTAGTAACGTATTGTTTAGCCTCTATGTGTTTGTGTTTTTTACGTTTTTTTCCCTGTAATTCATATTTCTAATCTCATAGCGTTGTGGTCAGAAAATATGCTTGATATGATTTCAGTTTTCTTAAATTTACTGAGGCTTGATTTGTGACCCAAGATGTGATCTATCCTGGAGAATGTTCTATGTGCACTTGAGAAGAGAGTGTAATCTGTTGTTTTTGGATGGACTGTCCTATAAATATCAATGAAATCTATTTAGTCTGTTGTGTCATTTAAAGCTTCTGTTTCCTTATTTATTTTCATTTTGGATGATCTGTCCAATGATGTAAGTGAGGTGTTAAAAGTCCCCCACTATTGTGTTAACTGTCGATTTCCTCTTTTATAGCTGTTAGCAGTTGCCTTATGTATTGAGGTGCTCCTATGTTGGGTGCATCTATATTTATAATTGTTATATCTTCTTCTTGGATTGATCCCTTGATCATTATGTAGTGTCCTTCCTTGTCTCTTGTAACATTCTTTATTTTAAAGTCTATTTTATCTGATATGAGTATTGCTACTCCAGCTTTCTTTTGATTTCTATTTGCATGGAATATCTTTTTCCATCCCCTCACTTTCAGTCTGTATGTGTCCCTAGGTCTGAAGTGGGTCTCTTGTAGACAGCATATAGATGGGTCTTGTTTTTGTATACATTCAGCAAACCTGTGTCTTTTGGTTGGAAAATTTAATCCATTCACGTTTAAGGTAATTATTTATATGTATGTTCCTATCACCATTTTCTTAATTGGTTTGGGTTTGTTTTTGTAGGTCCTTTTCTTCTCTTGTGTTTCCCACTTAGAGAAGTTCCTTTAGCATTTGTTGTAGAGCTGGTTTGGTGGTGCTGAATTCTCTTAGCGTTTGCTTGTCTGTAAAGCTTTTGATGTCTCCATTGAATCTGAATGAGATGCTTGCCAGGTAGAGTAATCTTGGTTGTAGTTTCTTCCCTTTCATCACTTTGAGTATATCATGCCAGTCCCTTCTGGCTTGTAGAGTTTCTGCTGAGAAATCAGCTGTTAACCTTATGGGAGTTCCGTTGTATGTTATTTGTCATTTTTCCCTTGCTGCTTTCAGTAATTTTTCTTTGTCTTTAATTTTTGCTAATTTGATTACTATGTGTCTTGGCGTGTGTCTCCTTGGGTTTATCCTGTATGGGACTCGCTGAGCTTCCTGGACTTGAGTGGCTATTTCCTTTCCCAGGTTAGGGAAGTTTTCAACTATAATCTCTTCAAATATTTTCTCTGGTCCTTTCTCTCTCTCTCTTCTCCTTCTGGGACCCCTATAATGCAAATGGCATTTAATGTTGTCCCGGCGGTCTCTTAGGCTGTCTTCATTTCTTCATTCTTTTTTCTTTATTCTGTTCTGCAGCAGTGAATTCCACCATTCTGTCTTCCAGGTCACTTATCCGTTCTTCTGCCTCAGTTATTCTGCTGTTGATTCCTTCTAGTGTAGTTTTCATTTCAGTTATTGTATTGCTCATCTCTGTTTGTTTGTTCTTTAATTCTAGGTCTTCATTAAACATTTCTGGTATCGCCTCGATCTTGCCTCCATTCTTTTTCCGAGGTCCTGGATCATCTTCACTATCATTATTCTGAATTCTTTTTCTGGAAGGTTGCCTATCTCTACTTCATTTAGTTGTTTTTCAGGGGTTTTATCTTGTTCCTTCATCTGTTACATAGCCCTCTGCCTTTTCATCTTGTCTGTGTTTCTGTGAATGTGGTTTTTGTTTCACAGGCTGCAGGATTGCAGTTCTTCTTGCTTCTGCTCAGAAATCAATTTTTGAAGTTAATTTAGTTTACCTTTTTAGTTACAAAAGGAAGATATATACCTTGTAAACATACAAACAATTCTCAAATGTGTAAATTAAAAATTGAACATTTCTTCCTTACTTCTGTTCACACTTGTCCAATTAAAAACCAAAACCAGTACTTCCCTGGTGGTGCAGTGGTTAAGAATCTGCCTGCCAATGCAGGGGACAGAGGTTTGAGCCCTGGTCTGGGAAGATCCCACATGCTGCGGAGCAACTAAGCCCGTGTGCCACAACTACTGAGCCCACGTGTCACAACTACTGAGCCCACGTGCCACAACTAACAAAGCCTCCACGCCTAGAGCCCGTGTTCTGCAACAAGAAGCCTCCGCAATGAGAAGCCTGCACACCACAACGAAGAGTAGCCCCCACTTGCCACAGCTGGAGAAAGCCCGCGGGCAGCAACCAAGACCCAACGCAGCCATAAATAAATGAATAAAAAAATAAAAAATAAACCCTGAAATCAAAAACGTGATCCCTCCACAAGGAAGAAACAACGAGTTGTCTTCCTAGCTATGTTAAGTTTTTGTATTTCCTCAACATAATTTCAATTTTTGATGACTTCCCTGTACTTTTTGAGTATATAATTTTTTCTATTTAGTGTAGTTTTTCTTTTCTCTGTTTAATGGTGTGGATACCTTTTTCAACATGTAGTCCCAATATACTGTGAAACTATTATGTAATTCGTGTTGTTTTCAGACAACTCAGATGATGATATTTTAATGTCATTTTGGAAAAAATGAATTATATATTAATAACACAGCATTTTCTTCTCATTCTTTGAAAAGATTTAGGAGAATTTCTCTGAAATTCTGATACCAATGATGTTATTTGTCTGGTAAGGGACCAACTTAATAACTCTAACCAACAAGTTCTTACCGTAGCTAAAAACCAAATTCATTAGTGTTTGGTAACTGAATTTTCTTTAAATACATCTTAGAAAAAGCATTATTTAGTGTTTTATTTTAGTATCTTAAAGTCTATAAAAGGTAGTCTAATGACTAATATTTTTCAAGTTACCATTATTATTGAAAGGAATTTCTTTTCTGTATGTTCTTTTCATCTTATATTGTAATTTAGGGATTGTTACAGGGTTTTGCAAAAGAAATTCATGTTGTTAGCATCCCTAAGACATATCTTTATTCTTTTCTCTCCAGAATAATAGAGTTAAGATAATTTATAATCATGTAAAGTTAAGCAAGTTTTCCTAGTGTTACACAGAAAAGGAGATCTGTCCCTTTTCCCAAGAGAGAACCAGAGTACAGAGAAGCAGTGCAGGGAGAGTAATAAAGCACCCTTGGCATTGATGGTCACCTGTGCCCTGCATTGTCTTAGTGCTGAGCTCCCACCTCTGTCCTGGTCAACCTTGCTGACCGCTTCCTCTCTGTTTGCTCCTGGCCTCTGAGCTCTCTTGGCAAAAGGCCTCACTTGTTGGGAAGCCAGAGAATGTCACTTACGTCAGCTGCTTTTTGCTGGCCTTTCATGTTGACTCTGAGATATTTTCTAAGATACCAGCAAGGGACCCCAACCAGTTAAGTTTTAAGAGGGAAAAATGTATTAAAAATAATTTTTTTAAATAATAGTAACCTGAAATAAGTCATTTCAATTAAACCACTGATCTCAAGTTTAAGATACTATGATGTAATACTGATTACTCTTCCCTAGCGTGTGGACACCTCCCGTCTCACTTTTCTCCAGCCTGGCACTTGTGCGCGCGCACACATTCATTCATGCTCTATCTATACCTGTTCTTACAGAGAAATGAGGTGTTAGATGGAGGAAGAATGTAAATTTCACTTGAAAATGTTGTTGCTCTACTGTAAGATAAGCCTGATATCAGAATTTGAAAAACATTTCATGCTTGGAATCACCCATTGGCTGACTTGTGTAGGGTATTAAGGAAAAGAAATAATGGGTGAATAGAAAATAATTTTGCCTTCAATATGTAAAGTTGTCAAGATTAAGTTAATAATATATGTAAATTGTTTTATAAAATGCTCAGTAAATATTAATATACCTTTTTCCTTCTCCTCTTTACCCTCTTACTGTTAACTACTTTCGTCACTGGGGAAAGACTAATTTAAGACAGAATCTTAGGTCTAGTAGATGGCAGAGGATGGAGATTAGCCAGATGGTTGAGAGCGTGGGCTTATAAATCAGACAGATCTGGGTTTAAATCCTGATTTTGCTACTCACTTGTGTCTTTGAGAAAGCTGCTTAACCCCTCGGGGCCTCAATTACCTTATTAGTAAAAGTGGGGTAATAATAGTGTCTACTTGACAGTGGTGTTCTAAGGATTAGATGATAAAATGTATGTAAAATGATTGCCACTGTATCTATCCCATAGTGTTTAGTACATTTTAGCTTTTCATTGCAGATACGTTCGATTCATAGGATTGATGTAAGGATTAAAATAATGTGTATAAAATATTTAGTAGAGTACTTGGCTTAAGTTCTTGATAAATATTAGCTGCTACTGTTAGTATTAATGTACTTTAAAGCAATAATAAATTATTAAAAACTGCAGTGTAGGACTAAACTATTGTATATATACTGTGCTGAGGCAAGGGTAAAAGTTCTAAAGATTATATAAAAGTTATGAATGAAATCCTAGCAATCATTACTTCTAAAATCATTATACTATAATTCAGAAATTGCCTTTAACTTTTTAATAAAAACTCCACATACTTTTCCTTTTGTTCCAGTTTCAGTTGAGGAGATGTGTGAAAATGATTGGTATATACATTTTTATAATTAACTTTTGCAGATGTTTATTGAACAAAACAAGCTAAAGAGACAAAGCCACCTTCTGCTACAGAACTCTGCTCCTGACCAGCAGCTTTTGAAAGCTTTAGATGAAAATGCAAAACTTATACAGCTCCTTGAAGAAGAGAGAATTGAGCATCAACAAAAGGTACCAGATTTCTCCTGGAGTTTTAATACACACACATACTTAAATTGAGAAGAGTCAGTCCAGTAGCTCATAGTTCCATGTTTTGCCTAAGTGACTAAGTCTTTCCAGTCTTTTCACCTTTTAGAAAAAATAACTACCAAATGAATTTAATTTATAGTATCCAACTAAAATTTATGCACTGCTGTAGGCTTTATAATGATCTTTAAACTGTCCAAAGGGTTAGTAGAAGCGAGAGAAAGAGATACAACTCAAAAAGAGCTTGGATAATGCAGTTTGGAAATCTGCATTTCCAAGTTGAGTTGATTGTGTTTTGGGAGACTGCATACACTAGGAGAGTGTATTGTGTAGTGGTCTCAAAGAGCTTGTTGGAGGGCATAGGTTTTATTCAAAGAGGGAGGAAAAGTCCATGTTAGTAGTAATTATTTGCTTAGGGAAAATTTGTGATTTTGTAAACTTGCACAGATCTATGTTTAAAGACTTAAGTGGTTATTTCAATTTGTATGAGTAGAGCTATTCCAGCTGACACAGCCTACCTGTATGTGCTAGGCAGAAAGGATAGTCACCGTGGTGGGTGAGAAAGAGAGGCAGAGAGGAGGAGAGGCGAAGAGGTGGAACAAAGCCTTTCAAATTAAAGAAACCACTTGAGAAAAATTACATCAGTGTTTATACTACTTACAGTGTACCTAGTTTGTGAAGGAAAGGCTGTTAGCTGCCATTTGTTACCACCTGTCGAAGTCTCTTTCAGCAACAATATTGACATTTAATCCTTGGAAGTTCCTGGAGTTTTTAACCAAGATGGTTGTGAGGTAGAGTTAATTTTTTTTTCTTCCATAAGAAATGTTGGCGTATAGGTAGAGAACCTCTAGATGAATACGTGGTAACTGTGCTTGCCCCTGGGAAAGAGGCCTGGGGAGTAAGATGGAAGGGAAATAATTTTTTTTGTCCCCATATGCAGGAATTACCTTTTTTTTTTTTTTTTGCGGTACGTGGGCCTCTCACTGTTGTGGCCTCTCCCGTTGCGGAGCACAGGCTCCGGATGCACAGGCTCAGCAGCCATGGCTCACAGGCCGAGCCCCTCTGCGGCATGTGGGATCTTCCCGGACCGGGGCACGAACCCATGTCCCCTGCATCGGCAGGCGGACTGTCAACCACTGCGCCACCAGGGAAGCCCAGGAATTACCTTTTCAAATGAAGGGAATGAAAGAAGGTTTATTTTTATTTAGCTTATGTTAGAAATTTTGGTTCTGAAAAGTTCTACTACTGTAGTTAACTCATTTAGTAAATAATGCGTGCAAATTGTATTGAGGATGGGACTAAATTGTTGTGTATGTTCCTTGTTGGGGTAGTGGGAAAGGTACTGAAGATTAGGTAAAAGTTACAAATGAACTTACAGCAGTCAGTACTTCTAAACGTATTATACTATACTATACAATTATTCTGGATAATCTTTCAGGTATGTGGTTGAAAATATTTCTTACCTGTCTATAAGTTCCCTTGCAGATTCAGCAATCTTTAAAACACAGCTGTGTTGTTTTTATGATTAAAATAAAACAAAATTTTAAAATACAGAAAAAGCTAAAGCAGAAAATTAAGATTAGTTAAAAATCCCATATTTTGGTGCATATCCAAAGTTTATGTAAATTGTAGTTTTATGAATATAGGTTAAACGGAATCATGCCAAGCATATGGTTCTATAGCCTGATTTTTTTCATTTGGTAATATATATTTCCATGTCAGTGTATAGTGAGGTTATGTGATTTTTAAATGGTTGCATAGTATTTCATTTAACGAACATAACTATAATTTATTAAATCAGTAATATTGGTGGACATTTAGGTTATTTCCAAGTTTTCCCTGTTATAAAGAACATTCTAGTTAATGTATTTGAACACTTGTCTTACTATTTCACAAATTCTAAAAGTAGTATTACTGAATCAAGGGTCTTTTCTTCCTTATATTTTTTTAAGGTTTTTTATATTTGTTACCAAGTTGTCCCACCAAATTTTTAATATTGCCTGAGTTTTTCTTTTGAAAATGGGCACAAAGGCGTTAATCTGTTTTAAATGAATTTGTCACTTAAATTAAATGAATATTTTACTTTTTCTAGTCACCTTTAAAAATTAAATTATCTGGGACATAAGTCTTCAATAAATTTATATTGAATTACATTGCTGATAGTGATCTTAAGTATTATCTGTATCCTAGGATTTGTGTGGTTTTTAAGATGAATTGTAATCTCTTTGCTATGAAGTGCAAAGTAAAAGGGAAACATTTATTTTTCCCCTTATTTTCCTTGACAGAGGAAAAACTGTCACCACATAAAAGTCTGTTTATAACTTATAGGTCAAAAAATTAGAAGAGCAGCTACAAAATGAAACTCTCCGCAAAGAGATGCACAACCTCAAACAGCAACTGGAGCTTCTAGAAGAAGATAAAAAAGAATTGGAATTGAAATATCAGAATTCTGAGGAGAAAGCTAGAAATTTAAAGCATTCCGGTAAAAGCACTGAGTAGCCTATTATGTCTTATTATTACTATGTGAATCTCTCATGACCAGTACATTTACTAAATGCTATAGAAAAATACCAAGATTTGTTTTAAATTTCTTCATTTCTGACTATTGTAATTCATTAGAACGGTCGCTGTAATCATGTGATTCACAAATATTTAGACTTCTGTTTTGGACTCACAGCCTTTATGAGCATCACATACAGAATTAAGAGAGAGATATCATTAATGTGGGGAGACCAAAACTTCAGCATTTCTCAGGGCTTCAGAGATGAGTGTTCGTTAAATACTTATTTTATTCATTTTAGGGTGCATTTTTAAAAAGAATTAAACTTTTTAGGTTTATACTACCTACATTTTCAATGTCTAATTATGCACATGAAATAATACTTTCAGTATCACACCTAACGATAAAATGGGCAACAATATATATATTAAATGGAAAAACTTTTAAAACACCAGGAGTTACTTAAACGATTTATTCATTCAGTTCTAGAAGGCTTAACAAGAATGTGTGAGTTGGATTACTACACAGGGATAAGTAATAAGTTTCTGTTGGAAAGTAGGTAATTTAAGGGGGCAGGTTGTTCCCTTTATAACAGCTTCAATATTCACTTCAGATATTTTTGGTTAATTTTATACTAGAATTTTGAAATCAGTACAGAAAAATCAAGTAGGCTTTTTCCTTTAAAAAATATTCAATGCTTTCTAATCCACAATGAAAGTGAATTACAATTTATTTTTTGAAATTGATCTAAAATTAAGAAGTAGTCCATTCTTTTTAGTTATTGTCTGCTGTGTGTGTACCCAGCCATACCCTGTATCCTAGGGTGCTATAAAAAATGTAGAAGAAAAGAAACCATGCCTTTTGTCCATGAGGATCTCAAACTCCCTTTAGAGAAACAGATACATGCATATGAAATAACTAGAGGATTCTTGGTGTCAGGGAGCCTGGCCCCCACTGCTTATTTAAGTGTTGACGGTAAAAACAAATGCACAAATCATTAGGGTAGTCAGTCATGGAAAGTAGAGTGACTGCGCAGAGGGAGAGCTATTCCTGAGTGCAGTACCTGTAGCCCATTAGAGCCCGATTAGAGGCATTCACATCTGTGATATAAATTCAAATTGAGTTTCTTGAAGTCAGGAACTGTGTCATGAGCAGCACTGAGCATAGGCTCTTTCACATTGTTGGAGCTTAGTAAGAACTTGTTTCATTAATGGCTTGAATGAATAAATTATATTTCCAGAATGCTCTTCCAAAGAGCAAAAAGTTTCTGAGTTAAACACTTGAGAGTCTGAGTCTGGTTAAAATCAAGAACTCTAGGATTTGCAGTTTTTGAAGGAGATTAAGTGGAGGAGGAAAGTATGCTATTAAAATTCATTACTAAATGTCATCTTTAAAATTAATTCTTGGTCTGTATACTTTAAAAGTCAAGTATTAACAATTTCTTAGTGTTTGAGTAGTAAATTCTATTGTTAACAAATATTTCTTCAGCCTACTCTCAATCCTTACTTCCCACCCATCCAGCCATTGTCTTGATTTATTTTTTCTTTTCCATAGTTTGTATATATAGCAAAAAGATGGTAAATTTTTTGTAACATATATAAGGCCTCTCTTACTGATGATAAAAAGTTTAAAGGGTTCTGCAGTTTCATACTGAAATTTCTAACTTTGCTTTAATAAAAGAACTTGATTTTGAGAGTGGTTGTTTTTTCCTTTACATGTATATAAGGTGTTAAGTTGCTTATTTCAGCTCTTTTCTGAATGCTTGCTCTCTGTGCAGTCGATGAACTCCAGAAACGGGTGAACCAGTCTGAGAATTCGGTACCTCCCCCACCTCCTCCTCCACCACCGCTTCCTCCTCCCCCTCCAAATCCTATCCGGTAAGCACGTCCAGGAAGACTGCTTTGCATCAAATGTTAGTCCTTGTCAGAGAAACTGAAGTTTATGCTATTGGTACCCTTTTTAAGCAATACGGGCTTAGATGCATCATTTTGAGGGGCGTGGTGGTAAAAAGTATGAAAGATATCAGCAGGTGTTTCAGAGAATTTTCTGAAGGCCAGTATATCATTCCTTTCTTGTAACATATAAAGACATCTTGTGGCCTACAGTGTTCTTCTGTTGTAGGTGTTTAGATTTCATGTGGATGTTCCAAACCAAGGAGCTAGACATCTAAAAAAATTTTTTTGATACTTCAGTTTTAAAACTTCAGTCCATATCATTAGGATTTCCTTTAACTGGAAGATCAAGGAATTTTGAGCTTCTCCAGAACGTTTTCATGTTTTTCTCTCACTAACTTGAATTTGAAAAGCTATGCTTTGTTCAGTTATTTTAAAAATAAAAGTACTGAACTAACAGAAACCTAACAGATCTACTTTAAGCCACTGAAGTAGTTAAGGCAAAATAATTTTTACACGTGATCGATCCAAGAGTCAATTGAAAGAATTTCAGGTATTTTAAATTCTTTCTGTCCTGAGTAGCTAAATCTGTAAGAGGTATTCTGAATTTGACATTTATAATAGGAAATTCATCACTTTGATTTTTTTCTAAGGTCTAGAATTTTGAGCTTGATAAGAAAGGTCACTTCTGTCTGTGAGGAGGGATAACTATTAAAAAATGATTATAATCTTGCTGTTGGCCTTTAATTTTTAGTCTCTGAAACCTTGAGAGCCCTTAGAATTAAAAGTAAAGTATAACAAATAGAATATTTTCTCAAAAAGCATCCTACAGTCACACTGAGAAATGAAAGTAGGACTCAGACTATGTATATCTAAAGCATGAACTCTTATAAGGCCCATTAAAGAAAATTTTCATTGAATAACATGAATGATTTTTATTTTAAGATGAATTTAAGTAGTATGAAATACAATTTCTCAGTAGAAAGAGATTTTTATTTTTTGATAAGGAGTACTTTCTTGTCAAAAAAGTATATTTGCATTTGTATTGAGTTTCAATGGACTTTGAATCCACTAATCAAGGTTTTCCAACTTTGTTCCTGAGCTGTTTGTTTTACCCTGAAGTAGATCATGGATAGAAGTGGAAGTGGAAGAAAAAGACTAGAGCCTGTGGCTTCTTTAAGTGGCTTTATTGCTTTCCCCTCCTCTTCCTGCTCATTTGACTTAGAGGACAGATGGGAGAGAGTTAAGAGAGGAAAAAGGCATATCTTGGTCATTTTGTAGTAATGGAGTGAAAGGACAGGTCCTGGCCAGGTGTGGCTCATGGGGAAAGGGTAGGGTATATTAGTGTGTTAGTCAGGGTTCTCCAGAGAAACAGAACCAATAGGCTGTGTGTGTGTGTGTGTGTGTGTGTGTGTGTGTGTGTGTGTGTGTGT